GGCCCCCCGCCTCTTATTGTCCCTGGCACATGGCAGCGGGGCCTACGGCGGGGGCCAGGCCAGGCCAGGCCATGCCGTACCGGGCGGGGCTGCTTAAGGAACGGGGGGCTGTTTAACGCAGAAAGCGGTCGGCGTTGGGGAGAAGGCCCCCGCTGCCTTTCACATCAGTAACAAATTACCTCCGTTGTCTTCCTGCTCAGCCGGAGAAAGGGTAGATCTGTAGAGGGGTGTTTAAAATCATCGGTGGCGCAGGGCCCTGGTGGCTCAGAGGCTGGACCGAGTGCTGCCTAGGGCTATCTAAGGGCAGTCTTGGATGTGGAAGGCAATAATTTGTCAATGGGAGAAAGGGTAGCAAGACTCCCTATCACTTCATAAGTAGTGAGGATGGCCTGGGCTGAGCTCAGAAATAGATTCAATAGTCTGGCATTACATAATATTTGTACAATACCAATATATCCTTTGGACTCAGGGTTTGGCAGTGCTGTTGAGGTCAGTGTGCTTTCTGGGTATAGTATTGACACGTGCCCAAAAGACAGGGCAAGACAGGGTTCCCAACCCAGGTATGTCATCCACTTAAATTACATTCACGTGTCATATTGGGATATAACAAAAACAGCAGGTCCTAGTTCCACAGGTTTCAATTTTGGAAAAAGGTTATATTTTTGTTCCACTTAGCTCCACCCAATAGGTGAAGACTTTTCTTTATTGATGAGACACAGCTATGGGACATTTATACATTTTGAAAAAACAATGTTCTTGTGTTTGACTCAGAGAAAGGTGGTAGCTTGATGGAAGAGGTGAAGGATAAGCCTGAGTGGCAGCTCTTGTGGTGCCTTTAGTTGTCTTTTTCCACAAACATTTTTCTTTGTTGCTCTTAAGCAGACTTTAGGCCTGACAAAATACATTTAGTGCAACAGATGTTCACCAGAGCTTAGATAAAGGTGGGCCAAATGTTCTGCTGGTGGTAGAGAAACTTTCAAAAACTAGAGGTATAGCTTCTCATGTTGTGAAAAAGTGTAATTAGGCTGAATTCCTGTGTGTTATTTAATAGGTGAATGACATAAATATTAGGTACATTTGAAATAGCTGTAAAACTACTGAATGTTTATTAAGGTTTGTATAAAGTAATTGGCTGTCTTCTCCATATACTTTGGTAAAAAGTATTTTAGTGTCTCTTATTTAAACCAAAATATGAAAATAATTTAATTGCCTATAAAGACAGTAATATATATGAAATCTTAAGCTGGCCCCAAAATGCAATTTTTTGTGCTCTCTGTATGTCAACATCTGTATATGGTAACTTGCTTGAAATCTGTTTTAGCTATTTTCTGCAGGTATTGAGTTGCTGAATGTGCAGGAAATTACGTTCTCTGCCAGTCTGGGTCTTCAGCTAATGGCTAACTTAGTTTCATGAAGGATCATGCTCAATGGCAACTGGCTTTTGTTCACACTTTTTAATTAAAATGTCATGGCCTATAATATACTATACAAGTTTCAGACTGGCATAAAATCCGAATATCTGTGCCCCTTTAAAAACACCAGACATTATTGAACCAGTGCATAAGAATTTTTTATTGTTGGAAATGTAGGCTCACTGGTCTTGCACAGACCTTTTGTGATGAAAGTATTTGTTAGTCTGGAAGCACTTGTACATAGAAGTAATGCTAGTCACATGCATGATCTTGGTTTTGCATAGGTTTATTGAAGTCAGTTATCCATTTGCTTGCTGGATACTGGTCTAAATTTGTTAAATGTTAGGGCAATTGTGTTATCAGTTAATATTTTATTTCAGGTATGGGTGTCTCTTTCTCTGTAAAGGTGAAATCATACAGCAGTAAATGCTATTCTTGCAAGTGGCCAGGCACACACAAGAGTTTTTATAATTTAATAGTTGTCCTTGGCTGACCTCTTAATTTACGTTTAATTTGTCTGACGTGCCTCTATTGAGCTGATGAGACTGGTTTTCAGTAGAATGGTCATTTGGCCTTATCGGAAAAGAATGTGTTTTGGTCAGTAATTGATATTCCTAATTAATGGAAGAGTTAAGTATCTAGATCTGTCTTCATGATACCCTATGAATCAACAAAGTTTCTACTGACTGGAAAAGTGAACTGGGGTGGTCTTGATTTGTCCAGGCTTCGTTATTTTTCCTTTCACCTTGACTAAGTCATGAATTGTTCTGTGCCTTATTTCTTCTTTCGCTAAGCTTTATCAGGTTATATTGCCTGCACATAAAATGCTGTGAGAACTTTGAGTTGAGATATGCTAAAAAAAAAAAATAAATGTTGCAGGTATTTCAGTTTCTTTGGCTTTACTTTCCTAACCCTGTCTTATGGGGCAAAGCTGTGTTTTACAAGGACTTAGAATCAAGACTCTTTAAGTAAACTACTGGAAATCAGCAAGGAGACATTGTTTCCTTTTGAAACAGTCTTTGTACTATGTGTATAAAGTGTTTCCCAGATATGGTGATGAAAATAGATATTTTTAACTATGCAGCTATGGAATGACACTGAAAATAATACACAATGTTGTTTCATCTTTTAATATCAACATATTTATAAAGGTGCAGTTGCTAGACAGTACTTTCTTTGCAGGTTTCTTTGTAATTCCAGGGAATTTAACTTAACTATTATATATGTCTTGTAAGTATCTGAGATTAACAGCAGTGCATATGAGCTATTAAGACATCTTTTTAGACTAATAACTCGATTTTTGCATCTGAGAATTTTTTGTTTTAAAAAAAGGTGCGCTCCCCAGTAACTAAATTTTTTTCAGTCAAAACGTAACAGAGTTTGTTTAGGAAAATGTTATCCCGTTGCTCTACTGAAACAGTGCTTTTCAGAAGTTATGTTTAAGCTTTTTGATGTTCTAGTATAAGCAACAGGAAAAGGAAAAATGCTTTAGCTTGTTGACTAGTCACCTTAGCACGCTGTCGGTTGAAAAGTAGTAGGGCCTAGTTCAGTGTCTTTCATTGCCTCCTTAATAGATACAGAAGTCACAGCAATGGAATTGTTAAATTAAATGATTGGACTCTTAACTACTGGGAGCTTTGGAGTGAAAGGTTGTCAAAGGGGAAAAATCAAGCTGCTGATTTCGTGGTAGTGCCTTTCACCCAGGAATTTCCAAATGCTGAAATGCTGTGTTTTGGATACTTTGGGGTAGGTGTTTATAGTGTTTAATCTGTAATTTTTTTTTTCACCTTTTCTAATGTGATCTTCATGTACGACACCTATGGCTATATATTGTAGTGTGAGTGAGAATGAACAGAGCATGAGTTTCCTGGCTCCAATTATCAGATCATAGGTTCTCTTTTAAAGTTGTTAGTGTGACATTTTATCAAAAGTATTTGATTATTCTCATTTCCCTTATCTTACGTCTATATATTTTGGTGTGTGGTAGATGAGAGATGCTTTGGGAAAGGATGGTTTTAAACTGTATGTATCAAGGCTGGTCCAACACCAGAAATCCCCTTGGGGACATTAAGGAGCCAAGGGAGCTTTGTCTTCATTATGAAGTTACATTCTTGATGTGTGTTAACCAGTACAAGGTAAAGTCGTAGCAGATGGGGTGACTTGCCACTTTCTCATGACTTAGCAAATAGTTACTATGTATGCTTAACTAGCCTTTGCTAAGAGCACATTCCTTTTCTCACTGTGAACAGAAGAGTAAATAGGCTTCAGAACGTGCAGACAGCGCTCTGATGACATGAGCATCAAGGGTGTTTGCAAGATCTGATAAGCGTGTATGTATTTTTTGTGGACCTAAAAGTGGATTTACATGTACATTGTAGCTGCATGAGAGGTGGCAGAACTACCTTGCAAAAACCTCAGGGTCAGGATGACTTCCACACCTCCTGAGTTCTTAAAAAAGAATTGAAAGAGTGCTACAGGGCAGTTTGCTGACTCAGCATGGCCTTACAGTTCCTGACCTTACCTTTCTATAAAAAACCAAACTGTTTCATCTCAATGTAATAGTTGTGTTCACCTGATGCTGCTATGGTGCTTTGGTGCTTTCTGCATGTAGATTTTTTCAAAATTGGAATGGGGGAGATGAGCTGAATTTGTATTTTTTCAGCTCCTTTAAAAATAAATTTTAGCCTTTATTTAAATGTGTGCTACTTTGAATAACTATAAATAACCTAGGGTTCTAGTTCAGCAATGTATAGTAAGTATTATCCTTCTGTTTTGCTTTTTTGTAACAGTAAAGGAGGTACCTACAGTAGTGTGTCTGTTATAATATGTTAAATTCGTAATGTCTAAGAAGAATGCACGGAGGTCTTTTTAGCTGAGATTAAGCTTCTTGTTTTTATTATTTAGTGGCATGCAGTCTTTGTGTGAGATAGCAATAATTCTGGTATTAATGATGAATGTAACTGACTTTAGTGAGTACCATTACTGGAGTAAAAGTGCTTTTCTGTATCATAATTAACTGTTGACAGTCCGTATCCTAGGAACTGGTCTCTTTAATGTTAACTTCAAACTTCATTTATATGATTTCCTGTTATGTAGCTGGCATGACACTTTTCTCAAAAGTGTGTTTTAGTGCATATCTAACAAACCAACACTGCTAGGAACAACTGCAATGAAATATGCAAAAAGATTGTATGTTCTGGAACAGTGATTGATATTAACAGGCAGTGGTGCAACGTTTGTGGTCTGATAGGATACATTCCTCAGCTAGTGAGGCTGCATAGCAAAGATTGCTCTTGGGAAAAGTCCCTGAATTCTTTGGCTCTTAGACAACAATGTCACCCCAGTGACACAGCATGTTGGGGGATTTGTAAGGGGGAAGGACTTGAGCTGAGTTTTGGGTGGTTGTGTGGTGGGGTGTTTTTGTGGGTTTTTTTTTTTGTGTTGAGTTACGTATTGGGAAACAGACTTTGACTGTGACAGAACCTGGTTTTTTTTTTTCCAGTTGTCATTGTAGTTCTCTAAATTTAATACTTATTTTAAAAGGATATTTGTAAACAAGGAATAAGAGAACAAAAGACAAAGTTTTACTGGTGTCAAGACTAAAGTCGTAGAAATTGTTTCTATTCTCCAAACAGTTTAGAGTATGTGATAGCAACCATTGTGAAATCCTGATTTTAGTTCTCACGTGCTGGAGCCGTGGGACTTCTGTGTAGAATGACGCTACTTGTCAGTGGCTTTCACTGAAGTGACATCAGCGCATCCGATTCTTTTGGAGACTGGGGTGTGCATGGACCAGCAGAATCCTCTACATTCATATAGTTCACTGATAGACCTTTAATGAATCTTCATTAGCAGCTCACCTTTTGTAGAGCAGAGTACTGTCTAGTTGCATGCACTATAACCAAAAGCTAGTATTTGTATAGAATATGTACCTAAAATAGGTGTGGGGTTTTTTGTTTGAGGTTTTTTTTAGCGGTGCTGCCAGTGAAGAGGAACATGATGTCCTGAGAGGCAGCCATCTTTGGAGAGTAAAAATACTGAAGATTAAAATAGCTGAAATGGATGTGTGTTCAGTACTTTTTAATGCTGTAGATACAAAATCGGCACCTGTGCGGTGTCTTATTTTAAGTTCAGTTGTTTTTTCCATGTGCCAATAAAACATTGGATGTTCTCTTTAATAGTATAGCAAAACAAGGGAGCAAGTGACAGGTTATTGTAGTACCTGGGGTTTTATTTGACCATTCAGTACACACATGCCTTCATGTAGCTGTCCTTACTCCTCCCCACGTTTCAGTTTCTCTGGAATCACCTTCCTTTCAGTGGTAAGGGAAGAGGATCTTTGTAAGGAGTTTGGAAGTCTTTTATATTCCATATAGAATGCATAGAAGTGTTAATGTAGCTGTGCGTGTATTTAGTTATGAACTGAATGGATTAAGAAGAGGCTTTGTTTGGAAAGTACAAGGTATTTTACTTATGCTACCTTGTATTAAAAGCACTAATTATTTCTAGTCTGAATCTCTGCTTTGAACCACTAAAGGTGAGAAAGTACCTTATCCTTGTGGTTAGTTGGTGTCTGATACCTGGGGTGTCAATAAGGAGGATACTTGTAAGATGTATAAAAAAAACCAAGATGAAGGTATAGATGTTTTGTTCCTATCCTTTAAAACTTGTTTTAGTTCAAAGAATCCAGTGAAAATATGTTAATCTCATGTACTAATACAATTGACATTTCTAGGGAGCTTCTGTAGCTTACTATAGGCATAGGCTCAGTCCTGGTGTTTTTGATGAAGAGGAAATTATTCTTTGATATTTTATTAACTTTTAATGTGTGATAGTTTCATACACTAGTGTCTATTTTTTGTTGCTTTTGCTTTTAAGATACAACATTTTTGTATTCAATTTGTTTTGTTATTCCCACTAGTTCCTTGATGGTTTTTAAGCAATTTCTCTATTTTTTATTGAAATGGATAGTTTTTATAAAAAGAATGGTTGACATTTATCAAGAAAAAAGGAAAGTAATCCTTCATTTTTGAAATTATAGGTTTAAAAGTTTTTCAGTTTCCAAACATGAAATACATTGCGAATTTTCACTATTGAATAGATAGCTGTTAAGTTTATCATAGTCATTGTGGAAAGACATCAGTTTACACTTTTTATGTAGACTGTAGTATGACCTTATTTGTAGATCAGTTAAAGGTTATTGAAACTGAAAGCTCTCTTCAGCAGGTTCATAGTAACACATTTAAGTACAGGAGTACTTCCGCTGACATTAATGTTAGGCATATAATTGAATACTGTGCTGAATTAGGCTCTAATGCCATTTGGTATGTGTTGCAGAAGTATGTCTAGTAATGTTATTTAAGAAAAGAAGGAACTTAATGGACCTGGAGCTGTGGTAGAAATTAATACCAACAAGTAAATTTATTTTAAATGCATTTATTCAATGTATTTCTTTTCAATTAAAAGTGTATTTGCTTCTTTAGGACTTTGGAGACGTCAGAGACGTGGGTCAGAAAGATGCATGCTCATATTGCAGTGTCAGTTACTCCCAGTTTATCAAAACATACTCTACACATAAACATTTCAGTTGGACCAGACATGAGTGTTGCTTCTGTGGGTTTTCTGTAGCCTGTAGTTTTTTAGTGCACAGGATGAATATGTATAACATTTTAACATCTTGGGGAGATTTCTTAACTCAAGTTCATTCTTTGTTTAAAATCAGTTTTAAATAACAGGAGACAGAAAACAAGCTACACAAATCAAATCTTAGTGCAAATGCATGAACAAATGTCATGTCCTAGGTGTCTCTTTTACACTGAACTTGAAGTTAGATGAGGTAGATCAAGACTTGTCTGGTTCAGTTCTGCGTACCTCAAAAGATGAGGTCCCACAGCCTCTGTGGACAGACAGTTCCAGACCTAGGCCACCCTTCTGAATTTTTTTTTTCTTTGTAAAATAAAAACTTCCTTCACTGCAGCTCATGTCCATTGACTCTTGACTTTGAGGAAGATTGTGTTTTTTTCCAGTTATAAAAAGTACAGTTTTTAAGGATTACAGTTCACTTTTCACAGTGAAATTCATTTGATGTCTCAAGTTCTTGATGCTGGAAAGGTAGGTAAAGGATGCTATAATAACGTGAAGATTAGTTTCCTCGTATTGAAAATACAATACAGTATTCAGTGTATCAATGACACTTCTCATTATTGTAAAAAAAAAAGACATGTTTTGTTTTCTTTGTAAGTGAACTCTTGCAAATCCTTGCAAAGTTGTTACTCTGCGGATGTCATCCATTTAGGTCTCCATACTGTTGGTTTGCTGTTGCATAGTTATGCTGACAGTTGCTGTGGTAATGCATAAATGGTTGCTTGAAGCTGTTTTGTCAGAAAGATGAACTATGAGTTGGACAGGCTTGCTTAAGGCTGGGCTTAGTTTTAAAACCTAGTTGCCATCTGTTTCTTAGATTATTATGTAATGAATTCATACCTTGTTAAAGGTCACTGTAAAATTGCTGTGCTTGGTTTTTTCTGGCTATCTAGATACTCTTCTTTTAAGTATTTGTTCTGAATGAAGAACATGTTTAGTAACTGTAAAAGACTGATTCCTGAATTCCATTGCTCGTTTAATGATTTCTTCAACTCTGTTACCTTAAACGGTAGGGTTTTTCTTCCTTCATGCTGTCTTCAGAAGACAGCGAGCCTGAAACTTTGGAATGCTTTAGTTGATTAGCTGACTATTGTGAAACTGTCTGAATTGCTGGCATTCTATTAATTGCATTACATCAGTATAGAGATGGTAAAACTTAATAGAAGTATTCTAAAACTTAACAAATTGTGACTCAGTAATATTCTTTTTTTTTTCCCATACAGGCTCATAAGTCAGTGAACTTTGTTTCAACTCTGCTTCAGATCACTATGTCTGAGCAATTGGATTTGCCAGTGAGACAGGCAGGCAAGTTTTTGAATCTTTTTAAATTGTATCTACTTTAATGGTATATACACACAAATACAGATACTGTTAAAGAAATGTAATGGCTTTAAGCTCAAATACTCAAAAGGTAGAAGTTGCTCTAACTGTACTCACCGTGAACTATATCTGGCACCGTACAGTGAATAGGGAACATAGAAAGAAGACGTGGCTGGCTCTTCAGTGATTGCTCCCCTTTGTCAGTTAATATCTTTGGGGAAACAATGATTTATGATGCTGGTATACCTGGTCCAAGGAGGCAGTTTAGCCTTGTCCTTGTAATGCTAATGTTTCTGAACATTTTCAGTGGAAGAAAACAAATTATGTTTTTTGGAACACTGCTGATTTGCACATGAGCCATCAGTGAAACTGGATATTGAATATTAGTAACTCCAACATCACCTTAAAGCTGCTGTGGTTACTTGATAGAGGTTTCTTATACAATTCTTCAGTGCTTTTTCTGACAGTTCAGGAAGTGTAATCTTAATCTACATAGTAGACTATTCTCAGCATAAGTCTGACTTGCATATTTATTTTACTGCTTGGGGGTGCTGTGCAGATGATGACCCAGAAAAGTTACTGCTTGACGTGTATAACATACAAGAAAAGGGGAAAGTTTGAAAACAATCTCTGAAAATTCACCCTCAGTGTAAGCTAATTAAAAACTAAGGCAGTCTTTAGAGAGTGAAGACAACTCATACAGTGCATAGCTTACAAACAGTGCATTTTTTGCAAAGTAATTTGTGGCTTGAAAAATCCCACTGAGCATGGATTAAATTCTGTGTCACTTCAGCATGTATCTGCTGATTGTTTCTTACGGTTGCAGACCCTTTCAGAAACCCTTTGGTTTCTGAATCTTCAGAAGGTTTGTGTGAAACTTGGGAAAAGAAGTTGCTTTATGGATTTGAACACAGAATTAGATAATTGGTAACTTTGTTATTAGTTTGTAATTTGAGACTTCCTGTTGCATTTTGTAAGTCCTTTTCTTTCCAAGTGCTATAATCTATATTCTGCCACATAAGCAGTTTGGATTTGGTTGTCAAATGGTAAATGAGGGCATTTGTGCCAGCAGCCTGTATGTTACAAAGTGCTGTGGCCCATAACCTTGGTATAAAGGAGCTCTTTTTCTCTTTAGCAGTCACTCCTGTGTCACAAACTTTAGATTTATTTTTTTTTTGCTTACAAGTGATGTCTTAGATAGTCATTAGTATTGATTAGCTTTGTTTTAATTAAAATACTGAGAAAATTATTATAAAGGATTTTTCAGAAGTGTGTTGCTAAAACGTTGCACAACTATTTATCTGTAGCACAGATAAAAGCAGTATGTTTATTGCACGAAAACACAGTCTTTACTGAACTAAAAATACAGACATTGCAATAAATGGATAAAAGAGAGGCCTGGTAAATTATTAGGTTCATAATTTGTGTGGTTTATGTATTTTGATTCTTCTAGTCAGAAATGGTCAATGAATTAATCAGTTCAATTTTGTTCTAAAATGAATTTGTCTGCAAAATAAAATGTTTGTTTTGTACTTTGGATGGCTATCAGCTGGTTTGCCACTTTTGTCTCACAGGGGTTATCTACTTGAAAAATATGATAACCCAGTATTGGCCAGATCGTGAAACTGTACCAGGAGAGATCCCACCTTACTCCATCCCAGAAGAAGACAGACACTGTATTCGTGAAAATATTGTAGAAGCCATTATTCACTCTCCTGAGCTGATTAGGTATGCAGTTTAAACCTGTTTATGAATTGACTGTGGTTTCTGACTTACGGTTTTGGAGTTGTTTTGTTGTTTGGTTTTTTTGGGGTTGTTTTTTTTTTTTTTACACAACTAAGATCGGTTTTTTTTTTTTTTTTTACACAACTAAGATCATCTGTGTGCTAAGCATCATTGTCATACACTGTGTATCCTGTCCTGAGCTTAGAATTAATATAGATAGAAAAACAGTTTTCAGCTCATGCAGCATGTAGAAACTTAGTTTCTCAAATGGAGAATATTAAGCAGAAAGTACAGAACCTAAAACTTCTAAACAGAAGTTGAAATAAGTCTAAATTTGAGCAGTATTAGCTGTTTCAACACCACAAGAATATTATTAAAATAATAGTAGTAACTTATTTAATCATTGTGCATTTGATTTCCAGAGTACAGCTTACTACTTGCATTCACCATATTATCAAGCATGATTATCCTAGTCGCTGGACTGCAGTTGTAGAGAAAATTGGATTTTATCTTCAGTCTGACAACAGTGCTTGTTGGCTTGGAATTCTTCTTTGTCTTTATCAACTTGTGAAAAACTATGAGTAAGTTTTTTCTACCATATAAAAAAGCAGAACTAATATATTTTTGTGTATTTTTTTTGTATTCTGTGTGTATATTGTAACCATGAGAATTGTGTGTGGGATTACACAAAGGTGATAGAAATCTTATTTTAGAAAATGTTCTTGAATACTCGCTATGCAGATGTTGGTGTGTATATCTTCTCCACTAAAAAATTACAGAAAAGCTGCCTTTACTAAAGGTTTGAGATCAGAAAAAGGAGGGTGTTTTAAAGCCTTAATTTAATAGTTGTTTTTTTATGTATTGACAGCCGTAAGAAAATCTGCTCGAAATCATGACTTTTGCAGAAAATTATTATTTATTTAAACCAGGTTTAGACTCTTAAACAGTTTATACTCTGTATGTCAGTCACAGTAAAGATATAAAGGATTCAAAGTGTGAAATCTTGAATGTTAGGAAGTTCAGAATTAGTTGACTGACTTTGGTGTGATCCTTCTGGAAATATTAATAGCCTCGTCCAACCCATCATAGAAAATCTTTATCAAAGCCCACCATTCTCCTATGTGCAAGCCATTGGACTAGGATACAGGTGAAGTTTCTTTGCTCTGTATCTACTATTATGCTCACAGCTTTAGAGTTGAGGTTGCAATTTGAGATGTTGTGTGGAGCTTAGCTGCTGCTGCAGGCATGTAGGAAGCTCATAGCTGGGTCAGAGAACAATGTGATCCTGGAGTGAGGGAATTGTAGTAGTGGAACTGATGGAATCCACAACTTACTCTTTCAAAGCATAATATTTTTGTTTCTGGTACTTGATTTAAAATGTTGCATTGAAAAATGTCACTGTCTAATTCCGTGAATTTTATGTAAATTAGTGTAAAACAGGTGAATGTCAGTTTCTCCAAAATCCTTGTACACAGGAATGTTATAAAGACCTTTGTAATCCCACGTTGGAGTTTCTTCTGTGGCTGACAATAACTTTTCACTTGATTTTCAAATTAAACATCTTTAAATATACAGCAGAGGTCTGTGAGATATGAAACATGAAGT